GATCTGTTTCCACCTGAGCTCAACATAATAGCTGAGCAGTAGACAATAATTTCCTACCTCCTTTACACCACGGGACTTTGTTCTGCTATAGGGACAGGAATGGAAGTGATGGGGCAACTTCCACAGCAGGCTATACTCTTCCTTTTCCTCTCTTTCCTCGTCCACTAGAATGAAGATACTTGCTCTGAAAATCCACAAAGGTCATGAACATATATCCAGGTAGGCACTTACTTTTCACTGTCCCTCCTCTTTAAAGGCCTTTCCCAGAGACAGTGGGAGAAAGCAATGATGAGGCTTTAATTTACAAGAAAGAAAATAAACATATTGAAGTCAGCAGAAATTATCTTTCCTGTACATTTATTCATTAAAAACCATATTGAGCATTGCCATGCTGTCAGACATTGAGATAAGCACTGAAATTCGTAGAGTAAATTTGATATATAGTCTGTGTCCTCAAAGAACATTTAGTGAGTTCATAACTTACTCTACCTGCTGTTGTCCTATAATGAGAGTATTTGAGTCAAGTCTTTGAAGGATAAATTAAAAAATAAGAGTTTATCCCAAGACAGAGGAGAGGAGACATACAGGAATCTTTTAGATTTAACTTTGCCCCCAGAATATGTCAAAGTAGAACATATGGCACATATGTTGTGTTTATCTGCTTACACATAGGTTATATGTACAACTTTCTTGTAACATTTATTGAAAGAAGGGAGGTGTGGAGGATTCAGTAACGTGTTTTCTTACCCACTTCAGGAGGCATGTACCCCTCCTACACCTAAAATTCTTTTATGCTTCAAAAATGCAACATTCACTGAAAGAAAGGCACTTTTTGCACAAATTAATTATAATAAAATTGTGGTTTGGAACAATATTTTTTTAAATGAGAAAGCTCAAAAGGCTTATGCGTGCAAAAGCTATGACTGCCTATGTAGTTAAGTAATACACTAGAGTATTCACTCATTGTACAATTAAGAAATGCACACTGACATTATTTAAATGTTGCCAGTTTACGTGCTCCCTCTTCAACTCAAAATAACTGACATTTGTTAAAATGTTGGTATGATTTTTAAAGTACTTTATTTATTCTTTTCCTATGATAAACATTTTCTTAGACTTGACTGTGACCTTCAGAAAACACTGCACTTAATCTGATATTCAAAGAGTAGTGACTCAAGGTCTTTGGAAAATATTTTAACTATTGCTGATCAAGTGCATATTGAATTAAGTCATTCTATAAAATGCATTAACTTTCAGCCTAGCTGATTATTTTAATCATGTACCAAGTATATTCTAATGAGAAATTTGTAAAGCATTTCTTAAAAGTTATATGATATATATGACTATATAGAGTTACTATATATATAATATATGCAAACATACAAAATTTGATGATATATACTTATTACTTAGGAAATAAAAACTCAACTAGACAGCAAAATCCCTCATTAATATATATATTATATAATGTCCCTCATTAATATATATGTATAATATATATTAATATATATATTATACATATATATATAAAGTCTTAAAAAGACTTTACTACTTGCCCCATTCTGAAAACACCTTCATAATGCTACATAGTGACTCAAAGGAGCACCAAGATAGTTCTTTAAGAGCTGATGGGCTTTTGTAATATCTACCAGGGCCCCAGGGACCAAAGGCACCAGTTAGGAGGCTCTTGCAATTATCTAGGCAGAATACAATGGTAGCCTGGGCTCAGGTCAAAGCCATAGAAAAGGAAGGTAGCAGGGGTTTGATTCTGAACATTCTGGTAGGTGGAGCTATAGGATTTGCTGACACGTTAAAATAAGATGCGAGAGAAAAAAGGGGAGTTAAGTTTTGGGGCCCAACCAACAGTATGAGCCAAGTGCCATGAGAGATGGGAACAACAGGAGATTGTTTTAGGATGTGCTATTTGTCACTCACCTATAAACTGGGTGGACAATGCAGCTTTCTCTCCAAGTCTGGAGCTCAGAGGAGATCTGGCTAGACCAAATTCGGGATGTTCCAGAGGGAATTCCTAGAACAGGTCTAGGTGGGAGGCCAAGACAGATCCCTGGGAGCTCCACTCTTCTGGGCAACACAGAAACAATGCAGACAGAAGGAATGGCCAGGAAGCTGCAAGAGGAGGCGAAGGGGTGGGGGGCTTGGCAGCCAAGCTAAGGAAGTGTGACAAGTGCGGGTGGGGTTGATTTAAACACAGGATATAGACAGATCAGGCAAGGCCTGAGTAGGCCTCAGTTCTAATGTTCAAAGAGTGGGGAAGAGTGAGATACATGTATCTTCAAGTTAGTCCTGGTCCTTGGACAGAACAAAAGTTCAGAGGTACCTCTAAGGCTAAACCCCCAACTATAAGCCATAATGCTGGGATTTTTGAGGACATCAAGAACGTTTCAAGAGCCATGAAAGCTGAACAGTCTATCTTCAAGCCAGAGAGAGAAAGGGTGTCCCTTTGGAGCAGCGGTGGTAAACCTATGGCAGGCAGTGGGCCGTTTGCGTCACTGAGAGCTCTAAAAGTTTTGCCATCACTGCTTTTCAGTAGTCAGAGGAACCAAGTTGCTGGCACCATGTGCTATGAGAAATCCTATTTTCATTCTCCTCTCCCCACCACTCACTCACATACACAAATACACATACATGCACGCATGCACACACTATTTTCATCAAGGCTCATGATTATACTATCAACTCCCAAAGATGAATGAGATCCACTGTGAGCAGAGTCCCCCATTATTTGTCCTACAGTGTGTCCTGCTTCCTGCACTCCAGACAATCAGATAATCTGGAATCTGAGGAATTCAACTGTTCTTTCTCCCCAGAGACCTCTTTAGCCATTTGTAAATTAGTGGAAACAGGGGTTAGTGATGCCAACCTGCTTTCTCCTTCACCAGCATTAGATACCCAAATGTAAATCATATGCTAAGGGCTCAGTGGTCTCTCACTCAGGGTGCAGCAACATCTAAGCCCCAGCTGAAATAAACTAGGACCAAAATTTGCAGATTTTTTTTTTCTTTTTCAGATAAAGTTAAAACTTTACTATTTCCCAACCCCCACAAACACCAAGAAAAAAACACTGGAAACAGAATGAAAGAATTTCACAGAGCAAAATGAATTTAAGATATAGTTTTAGATAATGGTAACTTACTTCTAAATAACATACAAAAATGTCTAAATTCCAAATCTTAAGAAATTTAAAAGCAAAATTGATATTTTATAACAACTAAGATTTTGTTTGCAACATCAGCAAAACCAAGGCAAGTGTTCACCGGTTACTAATTTCTTATGAATACAAAGTCCACCGTGTTTCTAGAAAGGATGGTTGGTGTTTGACAAAATTTTTGTGTAATTTCTCAAAAATATAACTGAAAACTTAGCCACAGGGCCAGGAGTGGATACATGAATCTAAAGTGTATTGACTTAAAATACCAGAGTAACAGAGTTTCATGTAATGCCGTATGTTATAAATGAAATGGTCGTTAACCACTATAAAAACAACTGACTACTTCTGCATACATGTAATATACTGTGGGCACTAAAAATATAATTGGTGTGATGTAAATCTCAATGGTGACTTTACAGAGACGTTCTATCAGATCCACCAGCTGGCCCACTTATCTCTTATTTGTTTATAGTATGAAATGATTCTTTAAAAGGTAAAATGGCTCTCCTCATACTTTTCTATCATCAGCCATTGACTGAGGATGTTTAGGGTTTTCTGGTTCCTTAGATCGGCAGGCTGAAAAAGTTCAAGAATCATTGCTAGCTAGAAAGTACTGATGAAAAGTTATGTATCACTATGAAGTCAGTAAAATCATCATTTGTCTAACACATCCAACATTCTTGCATGATCAGTGGTAGTCAGCAGGATTTGCAAAGATGACATTCCATCTGATTTAGCCATTGTCACATTACACGACAGCTCAGGGCACCAAGTCAACTCAACTCAAAAACCCAGCACTATTATGCCTCAGTTATCTTCAACTTCAAGTAGTTACAACCAGTTTTAATCCTGAATTTGTGTGATCTTGACACTAAGATCACTTACAAATAAGTCTTGGCATAGGTTTATGAGTCACCAAAATAAGGTGCCAAAAAGGTGGACATATAAACACTTTTATTAAGTGTTTACATGTATATAAAATATTGTAGCATGATATAAAAACCTATATAAAGTATACCAATATCTGATTTTATAAATAAACCCTAAACCACTGGGGCTTTGAACACTAAGCAGAAAAAAGGGAAGATACTAACCAAGAAACAATTTTATCATGGCATAGCAGTATTTCCTGCCATCAAAATTTATGATATCTTTTCACAAGGGTGCTAAAAGTACTTGTGTCAGGTTAATAATATTCATCAGTGAAGGAATCTTTTCAGCTAGAGACTGAAAATACAGATACTGCAGATGCACAGTCTTGACCACCCTACAACGCAATGTTTTTATGCCTCACTTTAAAATTGGGTGAAGTGGACTTCAGACTCCTGGGTAAGTAAAATTCATGGACATAGTTTTCAAAGGTGCTACAGAAATCACCTACCCGCACTATTTAAACCAGACCCTTAGGAGATGGGATCTTTGAATTTGATGCTGCCAGACTTTGACATTAGGCCATAAGCAAAACAGGACTTATTGGATCAACACTAATGGCTCTTCAACACACTTGTTTCTTTCATCCAATCTCCTCTCCCCACGGCTAGTAAATCCTCCCTACCTTTATCTCTAGGAATCTCTCAACACCCAGAAGGAAAAGTTCCCTTTCCTAACTGGAGAGACTGATTCCTATCTCTTCTTGACAACTGGGGTCTAAGCAATTTCCCTCTGACTCCTAACTCCACTCCTTCCCAGGGAAGCCTGGGCTGCTGAGTCCTCAGGGAAGCGCAAATCCTGTGTGACTCCAAAAATGAGTTCAAGGGAGGCCTCGTATGAGATGGAGGTTCAGAGGTCCTCTCTCCCCAGGACGGCCCTTTGGCTGGTCCCTCGCACTCACCAGAAGAAGGTTGTGTGCCACCAGGTACCCGAGCCGTGGGCTGCCCCGGACTCCCGGGGCCAGGCGCCCGGTGGTGTAGCCGTGCCAGGCTACTACGTAGGGGTTGTCGATGGTGATCCAGTATTTGACTTGGCCGCCAAAGTGGCGGAAGCAAAGCTCGGCATAATCCCTGAAGTGGTCGGCCAGGGCACGGTTGGCCCAGCCTCCGTAGACGTCCTGCAGGCGCTGGGGCAGGTCCCAGTGATACAGGGTAACCACGGGCTGCACGCCCAGCTCCCGCAGCCGCTCCAGTAGGCGCCGGTAGTAGCGCAGGCCCTCGCGGTTGGGGGTGCCCGCGCTACCATTGGGGAACACCCGCGCCCAAGAGATGGAGAAGCGGTAGTGGGTGACCCCAAGCTCCCGCAGCCCCTCGGTGTCGCGGAAGACGTTGTTGTAGCCGTCGCTGGCCACGTCTCCAGTGGCGGGAGGGTGAGGTGAAGGGGCGGCTGGGGCCCGATGAGTGAAAGTGTCCCAGATGGACGCGCCCTTGCCATGCTGCCGCCAGCCACCTTCGGTCTGGTAGGCGGCGCTGCCCACGGCCCAGAGAAAG